TATGATATATTGAAGCATATTATGCATATTTTCTTCGGTATCAATTTAATGCGTAAATTTTATAATTGGTAAAATTCCCAAATAATGCAATAAGTTTTATCGAAAAGTGAAAAAGTAATATTGAAAATTTCCATATAGCACGACACAATCAACTAATGTGTTATTGTTAAATATAATAGGGAGTTAAGTAACATGTCACAAAGAAGAAGAAGCACAAGGTTGCACCCGAATCTGGCGGCTATTCCCGAAAGAACAGTCGGGAGGCCCAGAAGGGTACAATCCAGGCCAAGTGAAATACCCATCGCACCTGAAGCTGGGCTGCCTACAACCGCGGCAGAGTTAGAACAATTGATAGCGGATCGACTTGCGGTTGCTCTGACACAACCGGAAAATGTTCGCAATGCCATCTTTGGAGCGGGTAATGGTGGAAATGGTAATGGACAAGGCAGCAGTTCTCAAGGAGATATCCGAGGACCACATCGAACGTGTAGCTATAAGGATTTCACTAATTGCAAACCCAAGAATTTTTATGGGACAGAAGGCATTATCGGACTAACCAGGTGGATCGAAAAGATGGAATCCGTATTTCAAATATGCTTCTGTCCCGATGATAGTAAAGTTCGATTCGCTGTGAGTACGTTTATGGACTCATCCCTTACTTGGTGGAATGACCAAGTAAAAACTCTGGGCATTATTCCTGCAAACTCTTTATCGTAGGAAGAACTGAAAATGATGATAAAGGAAGAATATTGCCCGAGAGATGAGATTCAAGCGATGGAGCAAGAATTATGGAATTTGAGGATGAAAGGCCTTGACATCAAAGCTTATACGACCAGGTTCAACGACCTCGCGCTATTATGCCCAACTCTAGTAACCCCAGAATACAAGAAGATAGAGCGTTACATTTGGGGTTTGGTGCCACAAATAAGGGGAATAGTGCTGGGCTCACGATCAACAACTTATGAAAGTGTCAGGAACTTGCAAGTCGATTAGTCAAGAATGAACTCAGTCGGGGAACAACAAATACTAAGGTTGAAGCACCCAAGATTGAAAATAATAAGCGCAAGATGGGAGGCAAGGATTCTTGGCAATCGTCAAGGAAGAAACAAGGAACTGGAACTGGATACGCAGTGACAATGGCAACCAATCCAGCACCAGTTCACCGAACAAGCAGTACTGGACGGTACCCTCAATGCAACAAATGTCGCAAATATCATCCTGGCAATGTTATTATTGTACCAAGTGTAACAAGAATGGACATACCAACAAATATTGCAAAGACTCAAGGCCTATTGCAAGAGGTACTCAGGTGAATGTAGGGTCAATCGGAAATAGTAGTGGAAATTGTTATGAGTGTGGTGGATCAGGGCATTACAAGCGTAACTGCCCAAAATTAAGAAATGTGGGTGGCACTGCACGTGGACAGGCATTCGTTATTGGAAACAAGGAAGCAATCTTAGATCCCTCGGTGGTTACTGGTACGTTCCTTATCAACCACCTATATGCTACAGTTTTGTTTGACTCCGGAGCCGATAAGAGTTTTATAACAACGACATTTAAGGAATTATTAAACCATGAAACTAGAAAATTAGATGTAGCTTACAAAGTAGAAGTAGCAAATGGTCAAATAGAACGTACAACTGAAATCTTAAGAAATTGTACCCTAACGCTTAACGATCGTACTTTTCAAGTCGACCTCATGCCAATGTCAATCGGAAGCTTCGACGTTATTATTGGTATGGATTGGCTTCTCATCACCATGCGGAAATCATGTGTTACGAAAAAGCAGTCAGGCTAACCTTACCAGATGGAGAGACTCTGACCATCTATGGTGACAAGTCGGGTCAGAACTTCAAGCTCATGTCTTGCATAAAAGCACGGAAATATCTGTACAAGAAGTATTACGCCTTCCTAGCTCACGTAGTAGATAAGAAGTGTAAAGTGAAAGAAATTCAGGATATACCACAGGTATGCAATTATCCTGACGTTTTCCCAGAAGAACTACCAGGATTGCCACCAGCCAGACAGGTCGAGTTCAAAATTGACCTAATCCCCGGAGCAGCTCCAGTAGCTAGAGCACCCTATAGGCTAGCCCCATCTGAAATGCAGGAACTCTCGAGCCAACTACAAGAACTCCTTAACAAGGGCTTCATTAGACCAAGTTTTTCTCCTTGGGGAGCGCCAGTATTATTTGTTAAAAAGAAAGATGGGTCCTTCCGGATGTGTATAGACTATAGAGAACTAAACAAATTAACCATCAAGAACCGATATCCCCTTCCTAGAATCGATGATTTGTTTGATCAACTCCAAGGATCTAACTACTATTCAAAGATCGATCTGAGGTCTGGATATCATCAGCTCAAGATACTAGACGAAGACGTACCAAAGACTGCATTCAGGACCCGGTACGGTTATTATGAATTTCTAGTGATGCCATTCGGATTGACAAACGCTCCAGCAGTATTCATGGATCTCATGAATAGAGTCTGCAAGCCATATTTGGACAAGTTTGTGATAGTATTTATAGATGACATTTTGATCTATTCTCGAACTAAGGAGGAGCATGGTCGACATCTACAATTAATCTTGGAACTTTTGAGGAAAGAGAAGTTGTATGCCAAATTCTCTAAATGCGAATTTTGGATCAGACAAGTACATTTTCTAGGACATGTGGTGAGCAATGAAGGAATTCATGTAGATCTCGCAAAAATTGAAGCAGTAAAGAATTGGGAGGTGCCAAAGACGCCAACAGAGGTGCGCCAATTTTTAGGCCTTGCCGGCTACTACCGAAGATTTATTGAAAACTTCTCAAAAATTGCAAAACCACTTACCACTCTAACTCAAAAGGATCGAAAGTTTGAATGGGGAGTTCAACAAGAAATTGCATTTCAAAAACTAAAACAGAAGTTGTGTAGTGCACCGATCCTATCCCTGCCTGAAGGAACAGAAGATTTCGTAGTGTATTGTGATGCGTCGATTCAGGGACTAGGATGTGTGTTAATGCAACGAGACAAGGTTATCGCATACGCCTCTAGACAACTCAAGACTCATGAAAGCAACTATACAACCCACGACCTGGAGTTGGGAGCAGTAGTTTTTGCATTAAAGATATGGAGACATTATTTATACGGAACAAAGTGCATTATTTACTCGGATCATAAGAGTCTTCAACACATTTTTGATCAAAAAGAGTTAAACATGAGGCAGCAAAGGTGGATAGAATTGCTAAGTGATTATGAATGCGAAATTCGATATCACCCAGGAAAGGCAAATGTAGTCGCAGATGCATTGAGTCGTAAGGGAAATATCAAACCTCGTCGGGTGCGAGCTCTGACAATGACGATCATCTCAAACCTTGTCAACCAGATTCAATTAGCTCAGCTCGAAGCTCTGAAGGAAGAAAATGTCGCAGACGAATCATTAAGAGGAATGGAAAAGCAACTCGAACTAAGAAATGACGGAACCCGACATTTTATGAACAGAATTTGGATACCAAAGTTTGGTGATATCCGCAGCTTGGTCATGGATGAAGCTCATAAAACAAGGTACTCTGTTCATCCGGGATCAGACAAGATGTATTTAGATTTGAAGAAGTTGTATTGGTGGCCAAACATGAAAGCCGAGATCGCCACATATGTGAACAAATGCTTAACCTGTGCTAAAGTGAAAGCAGAACACCAGAAGCCATCAGGATTGCTCCAACAACCGGAAATTCCTGAGTGGAAGTGGGAGCAGATTGCAATGGATTTCATTACAAAACTACCAAGAACACCTAGTGGTTATGACACCATCTGGGTAGTGGTCGACAGATTGACGAAGTCCGCTCACTTTTTACCAATTAAGGAGACTGATAAAATGGAGAGACTGACAAGGACTTATCTCAAGGAGATTGTTAGACTTCACGGAATACCCATCTCTATCATCTCTGACAGGGATAGTAGGTTCACTTCGAGATTTTGGCAATCATTACAAAAATCCTTGGGGACTCGTCTAGATATGAGCACCGCTTACCATCCACAAACCGACGGTCAAAGCGAGAGAACGATCCAAACCTTAGAGGATATGTTGCGATCTTGTGTGATTGATTTTGGAAATACATGGGATACTCACCTGCCACTCATTGAATTCTCCTACAATAACAGTTATCATACCAGCATAAAGGCTGCACCATTCGAGGCTCTCTACGGGCGAAAGTGTAGATCACCGTTGTGTTGGGCAGAAGTAGGAGATACTCAGTTAGCCACGGAATGCACGAGCAACACGCTTCGCACCGGGCCGGAAATAATTCATGAAACCACTGAAA